GACTCTACATCCTGAGACATTTGAACACCAGTGGTTCAGTTGTAGTGCGGTCGACTTCCTGTCAGTTTCCATCCTGCTGCTGTAGCTCATCAATCAGATGAGATGAAGGTGGAGGCCGTAGTGTTTACACTGAGGTTTTATTTAGTCATACAGAATCAATGGAGCCTGTGTGTTTGACTTTAAACAATCATCACAAAACAAGAACAAACTAACGATCAATGCTGTGATCTGAAATAACTGGTCAGTGGACACGAGGCTAAAACAAGCTATTGATTGATACAGTTACAACTCTATTGATCTACTGCTGACGTAAGATATCGATCACTGTGAAGCAGCTGTGTGTGTGTTGTAAAATAAAATCTCTAAACTTGTGACATGAAGTCTCTCTGTGTAGCTAATACACAGGTGTATGGAGGGTGTAGCTAATACACAGGTGTATGGAGGGTGTAGCTAATACACAGGTGTATGGAGGGTGTAGCTAATACACAGGTGTGGAATCAGAGGCTCGACCTCCCTGAAAATACATGAAGAAATGACCATCATGGACTCTGAGCTCTGAGCCATTTCCCATGAGCCTCCTCTCTCTAGAACCCCTCACTCGGCCCATTTATGTGAACTGGCTCTCACCTGCAGCCGCACTCTGAGGAGCGACGGGTAGAAGTCATCAGGTCCTCATTATCGTCATTACTATAATTATTTTCTATATTTAACCCTGTGAAACGAGGCCAGAGGAGTGAGTATGAACCCCCCCGGGACACGTGGGACGGTGGTACGGCCCGCCGCAGAGGCTGATGGTCTCACAGTCGGAGTGTACCACTTTGTTTTGGGAGCAGTTTGAAAACATCCTGGTCTCTGAAAGCGGGACGGATCCCGTCGCCATGGAGACGGGGTTTCTGCTGCGTGGCTGCAGTAGCAGGGAGTGTTTGTGAGCCGCCTTCAGTATTATTAGATTGATGTGTAACAGAGGCAGAGCCAGAACCTCCCAGAGAGCTGGGGGGGGGGGCAGAGGTGGAGCTTTCAGCAGGAGAAGTTACGTAAGGTGCCTTTTATTTTTGGAGCGGTCAGCTCTCCACAGAGAGGACGTGTGTTTGTGTTCAGGCGAGACGCTGCTGGAAAAAAAGTGTTGATGTAGAGGTGTGTGAGTCATAGGGAGGGGTTCAGAGTGGGGGGGGCAGTCAGCTGGGGCTTCAGACTCCAGGTGTGAATCTGAACAGTTTCAACTTTACACTTTTTAATGACAAAAACATACAAGGCCATGAGAGTGTCTCCAAGCCAGATGTTACCTGATGTTGTCAGGGTTGTTTGTTAAATATCTTCCTGTTTTAGATCAAAATGATTTAAACTTCATCTCTCACATCTTTAGAGCTGAAACATTAGAAGATGAATCAGTTAATCAATCAACAGAAATGATCAATATCTCTTCTGATAGTAGATTTATTGTTTCAGTCACATTTCAAGTAAAATTAGTGAATCTTTCAGTTTCCTGTCTCTTACACGTGACAGCTGTTTTTCTTCTGTTATATTAAAGTGGACATCATCTTTAAGTTTGGACTGCAGCCTGGACAAATGGACGTGAAGACGTCACCTGAACACGTCACCTGAACCCCCCCCCCCCTCAGACTGGGGTCCTTCCGTTGAGTCACTGACAGACGGACATTAATTTAATGACATCCTGCACATTTCTCTGTTTCACTTCCTGCTCAACAGACTTTAATAAACTACATTAACAGAGACTCATTTGTACGGTGGCCCTGAAGCTCAGTTTACTGTGTCAAACAAATGCAAAAGAATAAAAAATCTTTCCAACACAAGTTCAACATTTATGAAAGAAAAACCTTAGAAATGAGTCACGACAACAGGAAGAACTACTGTCCGTCACTTTCTACTGTCCCCCCGGAAACATTTGTCTCTGGATGTTTTCTGTTTCTCTGGTCTGGGCTTCTGCAGCTGTTACTGTCATGAACCAGCTCAGGACTCAGAGTGGAGGCAGTGTTTCTGCAGTGAAGCTTGTTGAAGGTTCAGGTGTTCATCAGAGGTTCGTCTCTGTGCTTCAGAGGACGGATGTGAGGTCACAGCGTCTCTTCACCTTCTCTCTGGTCTCAGTGAAGCGAAGCTGAAATCAGCAGCTGCTTCTCTGGACCTTCTTCATATGTGTTGGTTCATGTCTTAACATGTGATCAATGTATTGAGACAGAGGAGGAGTCGCAGTGACAGGTGATTTAATTTCTCCTGAGCTTCAAGCAGGAAGCAGGTAACCACGACAACAGGCCTCATCCAGGAAGTTCAGATTAACAGATCTGTTCTGATTTAACAGCGTTCATGACAGTCATCCATTTTCTTAGTTTTCTCTTTGGTGTGAAACTCAATCAGCTACAGTCTGCTTTACTCCACATTGATGTCTAATCTGTTTAATCTGATTCTATAATTACTCAATTAATTCATCAACAGAAGAAAAACCAGCAGCTGCTTTGAAGTGAATCAAATATTCTCTGATTCTTCTAAAGATTTTCAGTTTATATCACCGGAGGATCAGAAAACATGAATAGATTGACTTGTTTTACTGACAATGGACTCATTGATTAACTGACTAATTGTGTCAGCTGTGATTGATTGATCTCACTGACGTATTTCCTCATATATTCAAACTTTAATAATCAGCTCTGAACATGTGAACTCCAGGCTCACGCCCTCTGGATGACGTTGACCTCCAGGGTCACAATCAAACTGGTTGCAGCTCGTTGGCTGGTTGGTGGTGGGGGGGGTTGTGATTGTGTGACGGGTGTTTTCTGGCTAATGGCCTCAGTGCACTGGAACAATAGGCAGGGGGCGGGGCCGCAGTGGGAGATAACTATGTTACTAACAGAGAGTTTCACATGGGAACTGTCTGAGTTCAGGCCGGTTAGAAAGAGGAAGGCCAGCCCAGGTTCACAAACGCCTCAGACCAAAGTGGGCTTCCTGATTCCCACAGTGAGCTACTGCTAATAACATGGAGTGAAACTGACTGTTCCTTTGTGTATGTGTTAACATTTCATTTCATATATTTCACTCAAATCAGAAGTAGAAGTAAAAACATACAAACATGATGAAAGCAATGGGTGAAAATGGGGAAAGCCCAGTCTGCTTGGGAAGCTTGTGAGAAGAGTTGAGTCACTGCAGGTCCACAACACAACTTCATCTGCAAGAGACATTAATCCCAAAACCCTAAAAAGAAAAACGTAATGGTCCAGAACATCTGCCCCATCAGTCCAAACATGAATTTAATCAGCAAAAATAATAATAATAAGAAGAAGAGTAACCAGCCTTTCAGTTAATACAAGTTTAAACATATTTTAGTAGCAGCTGCTGCTTTGAGTTCTTTCTAACAGCAGATAGAGATGCACACCTCACTACTACACTACAGTTTACGTTTATGTCTCTTTCCCATTTTTCTGCTCTTGTTTCTGATCATCCTCAGTCTGTAGGAAAGATTTCAGTTTGATCAACATGAGCACGTTGTGTCGCCTGATTAAAATCCAGTTTGATCTTCAGCTCATTCCATCAGATATCAGAGTTCAGTCCGATGCTGCAGGATCACATGAAGATAAAAATCAGCTGCAGTGAAGCTGAAATCCTGTTTTCTGTTTTAAACTCCATCTGAAACTCAGAACATGAGTGACAGGACAACAATCTCTTTATTATTATCATTATTATTATTATTATTTAGAAGAAATGTTCAATGGTAAAGAACATGAAGAGTGAAATTTGCTTTAGTTACTTATGGAATTAAATTAAACAGGAAACCTTAAAGACAAACGAAGATAAAATATAAATAATACAAATAGAAGAAGGCAAAAGAATAAATAGTAATAATAATAAATCTAGTCATATTATTAATGAAGTTAAGTTAATAAATAACTGAGGATATTTACTTCAATGTCTTAATGTTTCATATCAGTGTTTAACTGGTTCAGTGTCTGTAGCTTCATTATTAAACAGACTCAGTAACTGAACAAACAGATTTTTCTTGACGAGGCTCGTTCGGCTGCTGCTGCTGCAGAAATAAATGAAACAAGGTCATTCACATGAAACAAAGACAAGATGAGAAAACTGAACAACAAACACTGTCCTCTGTCGCAGCACCCAGTTTGAAGGTGCCCTTGAGCAAGGCACTTATTGCCTAATTGTGTTTATAGAGCATGCATGGCTGAGGGTGCAGAACTGCTCCCAGGAGTTAAAGCTGTGGGAGCATCAAGCTGCTGAAAAGGAGAATTCATGCTCAGTTAACTAACTGAAGGCTAACAGGAAAAGACTGATGCATTTACTGAGGCAATTAGTCTTAAATGCCCCGCTCAGACACACAAGTGCCACACTCCAGGGCTTTTCTATCTCCACAATCTGTGGTTGGAGTCATTATCCCTCGGCCTCTCTTTAGAAAACTGAGCCCTGCAGCAGCAGCGGAGTTAGCTTAGCTAAGCATAAAGCCAGGCTCCTGCTTCCTTTTTCCAGTCTGCTAAAATAAGCTAAGCTAATCGCTGAGCTTCATTTTCAGCGTAAAGACATGAAAATGGTATCAGTTTAACTCCAGGGTTTCTACAGTGTCCCCCAAATTCAATTTAAGACATTTAAAACACGTTTCATACTACAAAGAATTCAATTCAGTAAAATCATAAATAAAATAAAAAATACAATTTAATACTTCATACCAGTTAAAGACTGACAAAATAACTGGGGGCCTTTTACTTGTCTACGTCCAGGGGCCCATTTTCTCATAATCCATCCAAATAAGCAGCAGTGAATTAACGGAGGAATTAAACAATTAAAAAGAGCGAATGTTTCTGTCAGCAGGTCAGAGGACGAGCTTCAGACCCTGAACTCCCTCAGACAAGAGAGTTTTATAAAATGAACCTGTTCCTTCCATAAGATTTACTCCAACCTGAAAAACAGAATACGACAGAAAGTAAAAGTTGTTTGTTTTTATTCAGTAATTATAACACTCCCACCCCCCCGCTCTCTCTCTGCAGAACCTGATGGCCAAAGCTTTGTACGACAACGTGCCGGAGTCTCCGGAGGAGCTGGCCTTCCGTAAAGGAGACATCCTGACGGTGATCGAGCAGAACACCGGAGGCCTGGAGGGCTGGTGGCTCTGCTCCCTGCACGGCCGCCAAGGCATCGCCCCTGGCAACCGCCTCAAACTGCTGATCGGACCTATGTTCGACGCTCAGTCGCCGGCCGCTGCCGCCGCCCAGTCTCCTCCTCAGAGCTATCAGCAGAAGATTGGATCAGGGTCTCAGGGGCTGTACCAGGTTCCTCCTGGACAAGAGGTCTACCAAGTCCCACCGAGGAGTTCTCTATCTGCTGACAGCACACCAAGCAAGGTGAGGAACACCAGACACAGCTACCTGCTTTTAGTACCAGTGAGTCTCAGTGAGTGATCCATGCAGAGCGATCAGGTCACATTACAAGCAAAGGCTGCAGCAGCTGATTTCACTGATTCCTTCAGTAGAGAGGATGAACTCTTTTAGGACTTGAGGACTGACTGTGGACAGTTGACTCTCTGTGGGACACGACTCGTCCCTTTTTGGTCGATAACATGTAAAAAAAAGAAAAAGACGTTGTGACAGGTCACTGTGACATCTCACGGTTGGGTGTTATGTCTGAGCCATAGTCTACAACCTCAAAAGATTCTGTTTACAAAGATATAAAATAGAAAATGCAGCAAATCCTCACATTTGAGAGGCTGGAAGAAGCAAATGTTTGGTTTAATAATAGATGATTAAGGGACTAAATGTTCCAGTCCTACATTTCTACATTTCTCAAAGGATTTTGGCCTCCATCTTTTATGTGATTAGAGTTTCAGACTGATTCCTGATAAACTGATAAAGTCTCACTGAAAACTCTCATTACTGGTGATTTACATATCGACACACAGTAATACTCTCCAGATACTGAGGTAGAGAACAGATAGAGGGGCAGAAAATGTAGTGAGTTTATACAAAGACAGAAAATGGAGACCGGTCCTGACCTCTGGAAACGGTTCTTTGGGCTCAGAGCAGATTTAAAACGTAACATCAGCTCTGGTGGGCGTGTCCTGCACTGGGGAGTATGGGTATTAGATGTGATAGGACGTGACATTTATGCATTTACACGGTGAGCTGTTATCCTGCAGTCTGCCACGACTCTCATCAGAGAGATTGTGGGTCTGTGATGTGAAAGGAGGACAGGGTGTGCCGGGCCTGGCGCTCACCACAGAGCAGGGTAGTGTTTTTGTGCAGAGCTCCCATATTACTTGTATATTGGCACATTGTGTGTAGCAGAGCCAGTCTAAGCCACAGAAGGGCAGCGAATGTGAATGTGGGAACAACTTGTGGAAAAGCAAACAGAAAAAAGCACAGAGCTGTTTTTTAAATTTTGGTGGAGCCCAGCGCAAAGTTGTTTTTCTCCATTTAAATGCTGCACACAGTCACTGACTAAACCATTGCACTTGGCTTTGGTCATTTACAGTAATGTACAATCCTCCAAGCTATGAGTCTGTTATATATATAATGGCTATTTATGTGTGTATGTATATACCATATATATATATATATATATGTGTGTGTGTGTTTGTGTGTGTTATTTATTGTCTAGATCAGTTAAAGGATCTCAGACTGCCCTAGTAAATAAAGCCTACAATAGAAGAAAGAACCAGTTTCCTAGTGAGTCTTTAACTCTGATACATACAGAAGAATTATCTGGATAAATTATCTTTATTGATCATTTATTCATTTACAAAATGGAGGAATAACTTACCTTAGCATAAATGTTTCAGGGCTCAAAGACTGTCACAGTCTTTTAAACAGGTGGTTTAGGTGCAAACATGTTAGCTGAGTTAGCAAACATTAGCTAACATAATGCGACAATTGGATAACATTAGCTACCATTAGCTAACATAAGTTACCATAACCAACTGAATGCCAACTGACATTATCTAACATAAGTTACTGTTGGCTAACATTAGCTAACATCAGTGAATATTAACTACTATAAGCGACTGTATTTTAGCTAACATTAGCTAACATAAGGGTCTGTTGGCTAACATAAGCTACCACAAGTAACTGGATATTAGCTCACATTAGCTACTATAACTGACTGAGATCGGCATGGCAGCCACATTAAATTAGGGTACCTGATGTTAGCTAAACGAAGATATATTTTGCTTCAGTTTTGCTAACTCTTCTCTACTTGTGACTTTAGTTAACATAAGCAACTGGATGTTAGCTGACATCAGCTAAGGTATGATAAGAAGCTAGATGTTGGTTAACAGTGGCTAACATATTGTGCTAATGATAGCTGATGTTAGCTAATTTTAGCCAGTACAAGCAACTGACCTTAGTTAGCTAATGTTATCTGATATTAGCTAGCTACAAACATGAATGTTACCCTAACCCTAACAGAAGTCATGGTAGTTAATGTTAGCTGATGTTATCCAACTTTAGCCATAAAATTGGCTAACATTAGCCACATTAGCTTATGGTAGCGTAGGGCTACATATTGCTTACAGACATTACTGAGGCAATTTGCTGACTTGAACTGTTCTCTGTTAATCCAGAGGTTGTGATTTTGGCCATTTTCTGTAAAGATCACATGAGCTTCCTTTTTATTTCATTAATTTACCATTTAAACAGAGTGATGCTTCATTAAATGAAGTCTCCGTGACCTGATACAGGAGGGAAAATGTTCCTGTTTATTCAGCTGTTTAACTGGTTCCAGCATCTCAGACCAGATCATCCCTGCAGGAGACAGAGAGTAATTATATGCTGGATGAGCCTTTGATACCTTGAGGTGTTTTTTTCTGACACATCAGCTCCAGCCATCACAGAAATGAGCTAAGGTGCATTTTAGTAGGTAAATAGGCAGCAGGCGCCAGGAGCTTAGAGGACTGTGCGGTTCACTGCACAGGAGGGAGTGATAAAGTGAGTCAGAGCCGGAGGCTGAGAGGAGAGGCCTGTCAATCACCCTGAACACACATATATCCACACAGCAGCAGCCATGTTGACCAACACCTCTTCTCCACCAACAGGCCTGAAGGCTCAGCTGAGGAACGCTATGAAAAAGGCTTTGGTGATAACATGGAAAATGAAATGTGCTTCTAATGAGTGTAATCATGTTATTGGAGAGATTAAATTAACTTTCCCTTCAATCTGTGGTTATCAAAGTGCTGCAATTTTCTGCAGTTGTTCCTGTTACACAGAAAGATTTTCACTGTTCGCTGTAGTTTCCTTTTGGTGAAAGTGAAGTATTGTTGTAGTGGAGAAAGTTATTTCAGGCGCTCAAGGTTCACAAAGTAAAAGTCCCTTCATTTTGACTGGATGGACGTGAAACTCTGGGTTGAATTTTGTATGTTAATTTGTCTCTTTGGTAAGAAGTCAAAGATAAATTCAACTAGTTCATAAATGTTGAATAAAATGACACAAGTCTTCTCCAACACACCACACTTTATTCCCCAGATGTTTTGACTGTCTTCAACACAAAATGACAAATTTTACTCTTTCAACATAAAATCACAGAAACTCAAATCTTTTGACCTCAACACATTCCTCTGGAACTAGAATTCATTTCAAATAAAAATATCTGACGAATAAATGAATTCAGTTCAAGTTTACAACCAATGACAGAGAACAAGTTTCTTTATAGAAACAGCAGCTGAAATTCAATATTTAAAGTTAGTCACATTAAAATTACAGAGAAAACCAGAGACAGAATTATTCGGACTGATGATATAAATGTTAGAATTATCAGGAGACTTGTGTTTCTACGTTGAGGAAAAAGATGGTTGTTGTTGATGTGGAGTCTAAACCCTGACCTTTGACCTTTGGTCTTCAAAACACCAAACTGAGTCTTGTTTACTGCTGTTGTTGTTTGTGACAGTTTGTTGATGACAGGCTGCGAGTGTTGACTCACTGACTCAGGCTGCGTGAGCTGAAACCACCACAAACACACACACACACACACACACACACACACACACACACACACACACACAGAGTCATACTCTCCTGTTGCTGCATCCTGGGGTTTGCAGCCAACCCCCCCAGTGCAGATCGAGATTGGCGACTGGTTATTTTCTCTCTGTGGGGGGGGGGGGGGGGGGGCGCTCTCATTGAGGTTTGGCTCTCTCTCTCTGGCTCTTTAGTTTCATGCTGTGGTCTTGTCCTTGAGTGACCCTCCTGGGGGGAGGGAGCCTCATGTAGAATATTTTCATCTCCCGTCAAAACACAGTGAAGTTCAGCTCTTTCACTCAGCTGACCTGCAGCTGCAGCACGATACAGTGATCAGAGCGTAGAAATACGGTAGTTCAGCAGCTGAGGAAATGTAGTCCCAAAGGAAAGAACTGTTTTAACAGGAAGATAAAGCTGGAAGCTGAGACCAGGAGAGACCTTGTACCTCCATCTATCATTCTGTTGTTTGAGACCTGCTTTCCATTTCTCTGCTTGTCTTTATTTTAAGGAGTGTCTGTCTCACTCCGTCAGTCTCTCCTCAGTTTCCTGTGACTCAGGCACTGAGGTCACGGCGTTCAGAGGCGTGTTGGGTTCAGAGTTCAAAGACCTGTGCCGAGGATCTTATCTACTCCCACCAGACGCCTTTTCATTCCTCACTTCCTGCTTTCATGAGCTCTGCTCCTTCTATGGGCATTTTCTCTGTTCACTGTGTCATAGCCATAGACCCAATCTGCTCATTGGTGCCCTTAAGAGATGGTGGGGGTGGCAACAAAAGGTTTAATAAACTCCCACACAACTCCAGGAAGTGCTCTGATAACTGTTTATGGGTCATCCACCTTGATAAGCCTTCTGGAATGAAAGGCCTGTTTGTTTCTTCGGCCATATTTTCTCTGTCTGATCAGCAGCACTGATCCCAGCTCCAGATTAGTGACTGATTTCTTCCTGCAGCAGGTTGGCTCCTTCACATTCTTGTCTGCTCGCCATTGTCACGGTTGTGATGAATCGCCGGCCCAGAAGATTTGACGGAGGGGGCAGGGCCATAAATCAGCTGTAAAACAGTGTCTGCTGTAGGTGTGAGAGCTGAAGGAAGTTTCTCCTGTTGAGTAAGGCGAAACAGGAAATGCTTCTCTGAAAGTTCACATTTCAGCTACTGACACACATTTTCTTTTCTTTTTATCAAACCAGCTGTAAAAACCCAGAGACTCGTTTCATACAGAAGACCAGCAGCAGCTGTGTAGATGAAATATCTCAACGATTACTGAATGATGTTCAGACGTTCCTACTGAGTTTTCACGTGGTGCCAACACGTGGTCGACATTTGTGGGTTTCATTGAAATATGTCAAGAACTATGAAAAGGATTTCTGTTGAACTTTGGTTCTGGTTTTAATGTTCCCCTCAGGATTCTTTGAAGTAACTCTGGTGATCACATGACTTTCCATTGAGGGTTGAACCAGTTTGTTTATGACCAAACACACCCATCTGTCAGTTGGTAATAAGCACGTTAGCATGATGCCATGTTAAACTAAGATGGTGAACAGAGTTAATGTTAGCATTTAGCTTAAAGCTAAATGCTAACATTAACTGTGTCTGAACCTCACAGAGCGACTGTGACTCTTCCTCTTGTTCCCTGTTCAGTTTTATTTTGAAGGGTAGTTCTTCTTCTTTGTCAGAGGTTTATCTCGTGTTGTTTCCTCGCAGTCTGAGCTCTGAGTCGTCACATCATCACACGCAGAAGAAGAAGCTGTTTGATGAGCCATGATCCTTATTGGAGCTAAAATCAGTGCGTTCTCATTAAGCTCCTGTCTGTTTGGCTTTAGTGTCATGGAGACGGCCGAAGGCCTCGCAGGATTCAGCACTTAATTACCTGCATTAATTAGTTTGGCTCTTTAATAGGCTGCTGCAGCTCGGAGCGGGGAGGGGACATGATGGAGGAAAACGTCTCTGTGCCATGATTCAGCAGAGCAGAGGAGGACGGGTCATTACAGAGCACAAACACACCCACATTGAAAACACCAGAGTCGCCTCACATGTGACTGATGGAGGGGTCAGTCTGAGATCTCAGTGTCCTACAGTGACCCTCATCAACAGGTGAACAGAGGTAGAAACAGCTCACCTGATTGGTGGAGAGGAGGAAAAGAGAGGAGAGGAGGAGGAGTTCAGTTCGTCACCGTCTGTAACCTGAAGTCTGGTGAAGAGCCTCGTCAGGGTCATTGATTTGTGTCTGCAGGTCATTAGCTGTGTGTGTGTGTGTGTGTGTGTGTGTGTGTGTGTGGCCAATGAAAAGGTGTGAAATGATGATTTCCTGTGAATGTCGTCACACAGCAGCTGTAATCTGTTGGTGTGTAGAAATGAACCCGGTCTGAAAATATCATGATGAAGGAAAAACCAACATTCAGTTTATTGTAATTGTTCATCATGTCTCTGTTAACAGCTTTAACTGGAACACATTCTGCCAGAAGATGTCCCCCCATTAGGTGGTGATGATGATGATGATGATGTAGTTTGTGCTGCTGTTGATTGATTATTTTATACACAGAGGTGTTTGTCAGTAATAATAATAATAACAACATTAACATCAGTTTTATCTTTATTCATATTGTCATAATATGATTGAATGATTGATCTCCAGAGCCACAGACACATGTTGAGCCTCCATCAGGTCAGAGTGAGTCTGTAACAGTCTCATGGGGCAGTTGTTGACATGACGACACCTCACAAAGGAAGTAAAGTCTTACCTGCCAACACCTGAGCCGCCATGATGCTGAGTAAACACAGAGTAAACACAGAGTGGCTGACAGAGCTGTGAGTTTAAACCTCTTCAGTCCCTGAGTCTCCATGAAGGAATCCATCACTGAGTGAACAAGTGTTTGCTCGGTGGCCTCAGCTCTTAGTGATGTCATCGCTCTGTAAAAGGACTGGCCTCTGCCGCCATTCAAGAGCCAACCTCATTGGATGAGGTAAATATTTACCCAGCGGCAATTATGGCAGCGTTTAGGTGCCTCGCAGCCTCGCAGCCTCGCAGCCTCGCAGCCGTGCAGCCGCGGCCTGCTGGGTAAACAGAGGGAGTGATGGGAAATAAATGAGCAGTGTGCATCTGGCAGCAGCTCAGAGCGAAGACACGTACCTGAGGAAAAGGTCAGCGAGGTCTTTGACTGACACTTCGCCGCCATCTGTGTGTGACAGCTGAGTCATCAGCACACAGGCTCCACCCACAGGCTCCACCCACAGGCTCCACCCACAGGCTCCAGCCACAGGCTCCACCCACAGGCTCTGTAGACCCTGTAGACCCTGTAGTGGACCCTGTAGACCCTGTAGTGGACCCTGTAGACCCTGTAGTGGACTCTGTAGACCCTGTAGTGGACCCTGTAGACGACTCTGTAGACCCTGTAGTGGACTCTGTAGACCCTGTAGACCCTGTAGTGGACTCTGTAGACCCTGTAGTGGACCCTGTAGACCCTGTAGTGGACTCTGTAGACCCTGTTGGATGATGTATGCACAGACAGGAATTCCAACAATGGAGAAATCTTCAGGACCTGGTTCAGGCTGGACTCATGAGAACCAGATGGACTCTGTTGGTCAGATGAATGGCATTCCTTTCCATACTAGGAGACCTAGACCCCCCCCCCCCCTAAACATTAATCCTGCTAGAGTCTGAGGCTCCTGATGCTGCTCAGACGAAAGTGTCCACAGGACCGGAGATGGACCAGGACATTCATTGGTGTGTGCAGAGACTCAGGTCAGGGTACCGGGACTAAACTGGGACCAGTCCGACCCGTCCCTGGAGACTTGTCCTCTGCGTATGGTTCCTATTTTCCCGGCCTGTTAATGAACCCTGCTCGTTCCAGTGTGGTGGGGGCAGAAGGGGGGGGGGACATTCCCAGAATTCCTCTGTCTGTCTGACGCAGCAAGGAGGTCTGCAGCTCTGGGGTGGGGGGTCTGTGTCTCTCTCTCTCTCTGTCTCTCTGTCTGTCTCTCTCTCTGTCTCTCTCTCTCTGTCTCTCTCTCTCTCTCCCTCTCTCTCTCTCTCTCTCTCTCTGTCTCTCTCTCTCTCTCCCTCTCTCTCTCTCTCTCTCTCTCTGTCTCTCTCTCTCTCTCCCTCTCTCTCTCTCTCTCTCTCTCTGTCTCTCTCTCTCTCTCCCTCTCTCTCTCTCTCTCTCTCTCTGTCTCTCTCTCTCTCTCCCTCTCTCTCTCTCTCTCTCTCTCTGTCTCTCTCTCTCTCTCCCTCTCTCTCTCTCTCTCTCTCTCTGTCTCTCTCTCTCTCTCCCTCTCTCTCTCTCTCTCTCTCTCTGTCTCTCTCTCTCTCTCCCTCTCTCTCTCTCTCTCTCTCTCTGTCTCTCTCTCTCTCTCCCTCTCTCTCTCTCTCTCTCTCTCTGTCTCTCTCTCTCTCTCCCTCTCTCTCTCTCTCTCTCTCTCTGTCTCTGTCTCTCTCTCTCCCTCTCTGTCTCTTTATCTCTGGGTCTCTGAGGACATCAGAGGACACACAGGAGTCAGAGGAGGGTGTTCAGCAGCTCTGATTGTTTTTCCCTCCCCCTGCTGTGATTGGACAGGTGGTGACCCCGACCAGAGTGGGACAGTCCTACACCTACAGCCCAGGCCAACACAACCAGCAAGACCTCTATGACATCCCCCCCAGCAGATCACAGGGGGTGAGTTTCTCATATATAATATATATAAATGTATATGTATCCTGTCATCTGGTATTCAGCTGATGAACGGCTCTGCTGGTGTCAGTTTAATGAAACTAGTCTTAGTTTGTTACATTATGGAAAGAGTCTTTGATTGAGATTTTAATGATGATAAATGTAATGGTGGTAAAATCATTACTGACTCTGAGTGTCAGCTCTTTGTAATGATTGGCCGCTGCGCTGATCACTAGCATTTAGCAGCTAAAGAGACAAATTTCTAGAAATAGAAACTGCTGAGTAGCTAATTATTAACAGTGAATATTAAAATACAGTGATGATTAAAACAGACCACCAGATGACAGTTATGAGTTCTGATGGCCCAGGGGAAGAACGTGTTCTTTAGTCTGTTATAGTCCTGTAGCGCCCACCAGAGGCAGGAGGGTGAACAGGTGGTGTCATTTGGAGTTGTCACCTTGTTCATCTCTTTATTTCACCTTGTTCTCGTGTCTCAGGTGTACGATGTTCCACCTGGTCAGATGTTTCCTGGTCAGCACGGCGCTGCCAGAAACCAGGGAGTCTACGACGTCCCCCCCCCTCAGCTGGACCACAGTACTCAAGGTGTTTACGACGTACCTCCCTCCTCACAAGGGGTAAGAACATTTCAGCGACAGTCGATCTTCTACCATGATTAAAGAGCAGATGGTTCAGACGATCCGCTTACTTCAGTCAAATAAAGCTGAGTTCAGGAAGCGGGAAAAGTTTTTTTATGTTTGTTGATACGGTTCCTAGAATTTCTCTTTAATTGTCTGTAATAAATGAATAATACGTCAGATGTCATATTTATGACATTCCTGTGGCTGCACTAAATGAAGGATCTGCCTGCCAGGAGGGTTTAACCAAACCTCCATCACTTTGGTTCTGTGTCTGAACTCTGAGGAAAGTCAAGGACATAACTGAGTTAGTTCCAGACCCTCTCAGGTTTCAGCAGAGCTCAGACCGGACCGGGCTCAGAGCTCAGACCGGACCGGGCTCAGAGCTCAGACCGGACCGAGCTCAGAGCTCAGACCGGACCGGGCTCAGAGCTCAGACCGGACCGGGCTCAGAGCTCAGACCGGACCGAGCTCAGAGCTCAGACCGGACCGGGCTCAGAGCTCCCGTTTGTATGTAATAACCTGAAATATGCCAGGACCTGTTATTTGTGTCCGTTCTAATTACAGTCTGTTTCAAGGCTGATGGAAATCAGCTACAGGCCACCATTTTATTCACCCCGCTGCACTCCCAGCATGCTTTGTGTCATGTATGTCAGGACGCACAGTCAGTTTAGAGGAAGGAATCAGAAGCAAAAAGATATAGAATCAACACAAACCAGAAGCTGTTTCACTTCCTCTCTCTCGCTGCTGAAGTGCATCCGGTGAAAAACCACATTCAGCTCGAACACAGTCAGTTTCCAGTAAAGATGATTTCTTCATCGTCAACGACAGAACTGGTTTCTGTCATCAGCACTGAGCTGGTTTAAAGGTTCCTACACAGACTGAAGAGAGGCGGGACTAAAGGACATGTTCTCTCAAGCACGAGTCAGACTGAGACACTGAGACCAGGATTCTCTGAGTCTGTGGACCCTGGTTCAGGGTCTGAGATAAACACAGTAAATAAACAAACGCACTGGTTGGTTGTGAACTTGAACAGCAAACGAAGCTGATGATCTTCTTCCTCCTCCTCAGGTCTACTCGGTGCCCCCCTGCAGGACCAACCCTGTCCTCCAGGAGGGAAACTACGACTTTCCGCAGCCTCTCAAACACAAGCAGGAGGGGATCTACGACGTCCCGCCCCCCGTCCTCACCAAACCCGCTCAGAGCCCCCAGTCGCACTATGACTTCCCCCCCACTGTGGAGCCCACTGCCCACCATCAACACCCCAATACCAACGGCAACGAAGGCATCTACGACGTGCCTCCCCCCGTCCTTAACTCAGGGGCGGGGTCTCAGAGGGACATATACGACATCCCCCGGTGCAAGCAGCCCCCCCAGCAGAGAACCTCACCTGCCGACAGAGACGGAGGTAAAGGCATCTACGACATCCCGGCTCAGGACGCTCGAGCGCTGGGGGACGTGATGGACGGCGTGAACCGTTTGTCCTTCTCCAGCACCGGCAGCACACGTAGCAGCATGTCCACGTCCTCATCCTCCACGGGCTCCGGCTCTGAGGGGCGCCTCGCTCTGGACATGGACACCGCTGTCCAGAGGCTGTTCCGCCTGCAGCAAGCCGTGGACGCCTCAGTCTGGGCACTGCATTCATTGGCGGCTTCCCCTCACTGGAGGACGTTTCCCTTCATGGAGCGCCACGCTAACGACGTCCGCACCGTGCTGGACCGGGTCCGGGCCGCTCTGGGAGACTTTGTGGTGTTTGGTCGAGGGGCCACGGCCAACGCCGTGTCTTTGTCGGACTCCGGCCTGCACAGTAAGCTGAGGCGGCAGCTGGGACGCCTGGAGGACTCGCAGCAGATCCTGCTGCAGATATACCAAGTCCTGGAGAGCTGCAGCTGGGCTCTGAACGTCCTCACCTCTTCTGGGAAGCTCCACAACAAGAGTGACGACCTGGACCGCTTCGTCATGGTTTCCAGGACCGTCCCCGACGACGCCAAGCAGTTTGCCTCCACGGTTGGCGGCAACGCGGAGCTGCTGTTCAGGCGGACGCACCCGGACGGGTTGTCGTCCAACGGCAGCACACCCAATGAGAACACGATTCACTCGCTCACCTCCCCCTCGTCCGACAACGACAGCTACGGCGAGCAGACCAAACCTTTCCCCGTGCCCCCCAGCCAAAACAAAGACAACATGAACACCAGCGAGAAGTGTGTGAAGAGCTGGATGGAGGATTACGACTACGTCCATCTGCAGGTAAAAGATCCACAGTCAGAAACTCAGTTACAGTCAGCAGCTCATTTATACCACAGCTGTGTCAGTGAGGCTGACCCATGGGTCAAAGGTCAAACCGTAATACCTTCTCTCTGCTCCTCTTCCTCCTCCTCCTCTTCTTCTTCCTCTTCCTCTTCCTCCTCCTCCTCTTCCTCCTCCTCCTCTTCTTCTTCCCCCTCCTCTTTCTCTTCCTCTTCCTCCTCCTCCTCTTCTTCTTCTTCCTCCTCTTCCTCCTCCTCCTCCTCCTCTTCTTCTTCCTCCTCCTCTTCCTCTTCCTCTTTCTCCTCCTCCTCTTCTTCTTCTTCCTCCTCCTCTTCCTCCTCCTCCTCCTCCTCCTCTTCTTCTTCCCCCTCCTCTTCCTCTTCGTCCTCCTCTTCCTCCTCCTCCCCGTCCTCTTCCTCCTCCTCTTCCTCTTCCTCTTCCTCCTCCTCCTCCTCCTCTTCTTCTTCCCCCTCCTCTCCTCTTCCTCTTCCCCTTCCCCCTCCCCCCCCTCCTCTTCCTCTCCCCCTCCTCCTCCTCTTCTTCTTCCTCCTCCTCTTCCTCCTCCTCTTCCTCTTCCTCCTCCTCCTCAGGGTAAAGAGGACTTTGAGCGTCAGCAGAAGGAGCTGCTGGAGAAAGAGAACATCATCAAGCAGAGTCCGGTCCAGTTGGGTCCAGATCAGGTGATGGAGCTTCTGAGTGATTCTCTGTGATCAATCATCAATATTAATTAATTCATCAGACACTCACAGCTGCTGACCTTCTCAAGACCAGTGACCAGACCAGTGACCAGACCAGTGACCAGACCAGTAACCAGACCAGTAACCAGACCAGTGACCAGACCAGTAACCAGACCAGTAACCAGACCAGTAACCAGACCAGTGACCAGACCAGTAACCAGACCAGTGACCAGACCAGTAACCAGACCAGTAACCAGACCAGTGACCAGACCAGTAACCAGACCAGTAACCAGACTAGACCAGTGACCAGACCAGTAACCTGACCAGTAACCAGACCAGTGACCAGACCAGTAACCAGACCAGTAACCAGACCAGTGACCAGACCAGTGACCAGACCAGTAACCAGACCAGTAACCAGACCAGTGACCAGACCAGTAACCAGACCAGTAACCAGACCAGTGACCAGACCAGTAACCAGACCAGTGACCAGACCAGTGACCAGACCAGTAACCAGACCAGTGACCAGACCAGTGACCAGACCAGTAACCAGACCAGTAACCTGACCAGTAACCAGACCAGTGACCAGACCAGACCAGTGACCAGACCAGTAACCTGACCAGTAACCAGACCAGTAACCAGACTAGACCAGTGACCAGTCCAGTGGCCAGACCAGTGACCAGACCAGTGACCAGACCAGTAACCAGACCAGTAACCAGACCAGTAACCTGACCAGTAACCTGACCAGTAACCAGACTAGACCAGTGACCAGACCAGTAACCAGACCAGTAACCTGACCAGTGACCAGACCAGTGACCAGACCAGTAACCTGACCAGTGACCAGACCAGTAACCAGACCAGTAACCTGACCAGTGACCAGACCAGTGACCAGACCAATAACCTGACCAGCAGCTCTGAGTCTTACACAGAGAAAATATCTTAGATATTCAAATCAAATGAAAAGCTGTTGTTGTTGGTTTCAGAGTTTTGAGGATTAAACTAATAATAATAATAATAATAATTTTGCTTGTTGCTTATTTAATCATTAATATTTAATGTTTTATAGAAATACAAATCTGAAACCATGTGTAAGAGGCTTTAATCTTGATTAATTGACTAATTGTTTATTCAGTCAGTTCCTTATGAAAGAACCAGCTCGTCCCAACGTAAAGAAAACATCCCAAAGTGACGTCTTTAAATTGCAGCAAATATTTGGTGTTTTTGCTTGAAAACTGAATAAATTATCTGAATGAATCAATTAACATCTGCTGATTATCATTCTTTTGAATATTGATTAACTATAGATATGATCCATATTAACAGTCAAATCTGAACCTGTCACCCTTCACAGATCAATCAGTTAAAGAAGCTGGAGCAGGAAGTGATCAAACCCGTGGAGAATGACATCACACAGTGGACGTCACACCAGCACTCAGGTGTAACCTCGGCCCCCCCCTCGGACTCCTTCTCCACCCCCTCCGCTCACGTGTGCACTCGGGACCGACAGCTGCTCGGCTTCTACTCGGAGCAGTGCGAGCAGCACTTCGTCACACTGCTCAGCGCCGTCGATGCCTTCTTCGGCTGCGTCGGCGCCGGCCAGCCTCCTCGCATCTTTGTGGCGCACAGCAAGTTCGTCATCCTCAGCGCCCACAAACTGGTCTTCATCGGAGACACTCTGTCCAGACAGGCCTCGGCCCCCGAGGTGGCCAACAGGGTGATGAACTCCAGTAACGTGCTGTGTGACTTGTTAAAGACGGTGGTGGCTGCGACTAAAACGGCCGCTCTGAACTACCCGAACACGGCCGCCATCCAGGACATGGTGGACAGGGTCACGGACTTGTCTCACCACTCGCAGCAGTTCAAAGAACAGTTACTGCAGATGGCACAGTCCTGATCTCCACCACAGACTCACTGTGTACACTCATCAGTAGAAATGTGTATATATATATATATATATATATATATATGTGGTGATGGTGTGTGTATAGTTTGTCTTTATCTTTAAGTCTGTTCTGGACGTTGTAAATAGTCTGTTCTGTAAATATTTGCTATATTTTTGTGTAGATTGTTTTATATTATGTTATGAATATATATGTAGATGCAGCGTCGGTGTCTCTGTAGGTTCTGTGGACATTTTTCGTAACATTCCTGTTGCATATTAAGAAGCACCTTCTGTTTCATGTTAATGTCTGTTACTGCTGTGACAGTAAATCTCCTGTAAATCACATTCATGTCGATGTGTGTGGATCTCCACAAAGTAAAGGACTGTTCTTAATCACGTGACTGTGTCTTTCATTTTTCCGATAGAACTGATTTGTTATAGTGAAAGAGAAATGTCCCACAGAGCACAATGGTCTGTAACTACAGGCAGAGGAAGATGGACGGTGTGAAGAGGGAATTGAAGTGAATATTTTCTTCAAAGAAAATAGACTTTCATCTGAAACAAGCTGCACATGCAGAGTTTAAACGAGTGATTATAACTATGAACTTAACTGATACCACACAGAAAAAGATACAGAAGAACCAGAAAAGGATCAATAAAGGCAAGGAACTAATACTACAGTATTCACATATGATATGGATATGTTTCATAGTATATTATGCCATCAAAATTTCATAAAAATGTCTTAAAAATATCATCGTGGGGCGTCATGTGGCGTAGTGGTCTAAGCAGGCGCCCCATGTGTAGAGGCTACAGTCCTCGCTGCAGTCAGCCCCGGTTCGAATCCTGCATCGGACGGCCTTTGCTGCATGTCATTCCCCCTCTCTCTGCCTCCCCATTTCCTGTCTCTCTACTGTACTATTGAATAAAGGCATAAAAAAGCCCAAAAAAATATACTTAAACAAAAAAAATCATCATATAGCATGTCATAAAAATGTCTTAAAACTATCGTAGTATAGCATGTGATTAAAATATCAAGTATAGTATGCCATAAAAAGTCGTAAAAATATCATCGTATAGCATGTCATAAAAGTATCGTAGTATAGTATGTCATAAAATGTAAAAAAAAGTCATAGTATAGTATGCCTTAAAAGTGTCATGAAACTATCATCGTATAGCATATCATAAAAATATCATAAAAACTATCATAGTATAGTATGTCAATAAAATGTCATAGTATATTAAGACATAAAACTGTCATGAAAATGTCTTAAAACTAACATCAAAAAGCATGTCATAAAAATGTGATAGTATAGTATGACATAAAAATGTCATAAAACTATCATAGTATCATATGCCATAAAAATGTTAAGTATAGTAAGTCATAAAGTGTCATAAAAATGTCACAGTATAATATGTCATAAAAATGTCATATTATAGTATGTCAAAAAAAGTCATACTATCATATGCCATAAAAAATGTAGAAAGATCATAGTATAACATGTTATATTATATTATATATGTTATTGTATGCCATGAAAATGTCATAAAAATTTTGAAAAACTACCATCATAAAACATGTCATAAAAATGTCATAAAAATATCATAGTATTTTATGTCAAATAAAGTTCATAGTATAGCATGTCATAAAAATGTCATAAAAATATCATAGTATAGTATGCCATAAAAATGTCATAAAAATATCATAGTATTGTATGTCAAATAAAGGACATAGTATAGCATGTCATAAAAATGTTATAAAAATATCATAGTATAGCATGTCAAAAAATGTCAAGTATAGTAAGTCATGTAGTGTCATAAAAATATCACAGTATCGTATGTCAAAAAAATTCATAGTATAGTATGCCATAGAGATGTTAAGTATAGTAAGTCATAAAGTGTCATAAAAATGTCATAGTATATTATGTCATAAAAATATCATAGTATAGTATGTAAAAAAATGGCACAGTATAATATGTCATAAAAATGTCATAGTATAGCATGTTAAAAAAAAGTAATAGAATCGTATGCCATAAAAATGTAGAAACATCATAGTATAGCATGTTCTAAAAATGTTGTTAAAATATCACAGTATAGTATGTCAAAAAATGTCATAAAAAGATCATAGTATAGTATGCTATATAAATGTTGTACAAATATCATAGTATAGCATGTCATAAAAATGTCACAGTATAATATGTCAAAAAATGTCATATATAGTATGCCATGAAAATGACATGAAAATGTTGAAAAACTATTATCATAAAGCATGTCATAAAAATGTCATAGTATAGTACGACATTAAAATGTCATAAAAATATCATAGTATAGTATATCAAAAAAATGTCACAGTGTTATATGTCATAAAAATGTCATGGTATAGTATGTCTAAAAAGTCATATTATCATATGCCATAAAAATGTAGAAACATCATAGTATAGCATGTTATAAAAATGTTGTTAAAACATCACAGTATAGTATGTCAAAAAAATATCGTAAAAAGATGATAGTATAGTATGCTATATAAATGTTGTAAAAATATCATACTATAGCATGTCATAAATATATCACAGTATAATATGTCAAAAAAAATGTCATATTAAAAAAAGGCCTGAAAATGTCAATGTCAAGTATAGTAAGTCATGAAGTGTCATAAAAATGTCATAGTATAATATGTCAAAAAAGTCATAGTATAGCATGTCATAAAAATATCATAGTGTTGTATGTCAAAAGAAGTCATAGTATCGTATGCCATAAAAATGTAGAAACATCATAGTATAGCATGTTATCAAAATGTTTATATATCACAATATAGTATGTCAAAAAAATGTTGTAAAAAGATCATATTATAGTATGCCATGAAAATGTTGTAAAAGTCTCATAGTATAGTATGTTATAAAAAGTCATTATATAGTATGTCAAAAAAATTAATATTAATTAATATTATGTAAAAAAAAAGGTCATGGTATAGTATGCCATAAAAATGTCACAAAAATGTCATAATACAGCATGTCATAAAAAGTCGTAAAAGTATCATAGTATAGTATGTCAAAAAAAGTCATAGTATCGTATGCCATAAAAATGTAGAAACATCATAGTATAGCATGTTATACAAATGTTGTTAAAATATCACAGTATAGTATGTAAAAAAAATGTCATAAATAGATCATATTATAGTATGATAAATAAATGTTGTAAAAATATCATAGTATAGCATGTCATAAAAATGTCACAGTTTATGTAAAAAAAAAAGTCATATTATAATATGCCATGAAAATGTCATAAAAATGTTGAAAAAATATCATCATAAAGCATGTCATAAAAATGTCATAAAACTATCATAGTATAATATGCCATAAAAATGTCATGAAAATATAGTATTGTATGTCAAATAAAGGTCATAGTATAGCATGTCATAAAAATGTTGTAAAAATATCATTAGTATAGCATGTCATAAAAATATCATAATATAGTATGCCATAAAAATGTTAAGTATAGTAAGTCATAAAGTGTCATAAAAATCTCATAGTTTAGTATGTCATAAAAATGTCATAGTATAGTATATCAAAAAAATGTCACAGTATAGTATGTCAATGTTAAGTAAAACTATCTTAAAACTATCATCGTATAACATGTCATAAAAATGTCATAAAAATGTCAGTTTAATATGTCATAAAAATGTCATAGTTTAGTATGTCATAAAAATGTCATAGTATAGTATATCAAAAAAATGTCACAGTATAGTATGTCAAAAAAAGTCATAGTATCGTATGCCATCAAAATGTAGAAACATCATTGTTTAGCATGTTATAAAAATGTTGTTAAAATATCACAGTATAGTATGTCAAAAAAATGTCGTAAAAAGATCATATTATAGTATGCCATGAAAATGTCATAAAAAACCTCATAATATAGTATGTTATAAAAAGTCATAGTATAGTATGTCAACAAAATTTCATATTATGTAAAAAAAAAATCTTACTATAGTATATCAAAAAAATTTCATATTATATTATGTAAAAAAAAAAAGGTCATAGTATAGTATGCCATAAAAATGTCACAAAAATGTCAAGTATAGTATGTCAAAAAAAAGTCATAGTATCGTATGCCATAAAACTGTAGAAACATCATAGTATAGCATGCTATAAAAATGTTGTTAAAATATCACAGTATAGTATGTCAAAAAAATGTCATAAAAAGATCATATTATAGTATGATATATAAATGTTGTAAAAATATCATAATATAGCATGTCATAAAAATGACACAGTATAATATGTAAAAAAA